CCAGTCCGATCTCGATATCTAACTCACATTCGTTTGGGAGGTTGTGATGGCAAGATCAAAGGAGACCAGAAAGAAAAAAAACCATCGCGACTAGCGCCAGTGGCATCGCGATTCATACAATTTTGATGGGAAAGTGGGAAACTTTTCACTGCAGTGAATGCACTGCAGTGAATGCACACATTCACTGCAGCGAAAAGCCAAGCGCAGCTCAAAGACCGGAACTGTAGCAGGGGAAATCGACATCCTGACCTGGAGAGCGTGACAGTCACGGCCAGGCCAGCCAGCTCAGTTGTTTGAACTGCAATGTTTGAACTGCAATGACCTGGTATTCTTTGCAAGCCTGCAAACTGATGCCAGTGATGGCGAGATGGTGGCAAAGATCAAGAAGACATTGTCCGACCTGGCAGCGGCAGTACAAGAGTCGTGGTCAGCGTATCCAGCAGAGCGTATGACAGCTGTCTGGAGAGGGATGTGTGCCTGATTCAAAAACATTGTTGAAGCAGACAGTACTGTAGTGACACACGGGTCACGCTGCCCACGTTGCTCCAAGTGCCAAAGTGACAGCCGCGACTGTTCCTTTCCCATCGCTGCTATACGCCAAGCGGAGAAAGCAAGAGATACTCTACGCCAGCAGATACACACCAGTGAATGTCAGCTCAAGTGACATCAGCTCGAGTGATACAGAGCCAGAGTCGGATAAACTAAAGCGTGAGTGCAAGAAGGCGCTCCGTCGCTGTTTTCTGTTGTACATTTTTTGTAACCTTAATTCCTTTCTTCGACTTGCTTCATCAGATTCCATCGCTGAACTTATTTCTTGTGGCGGACAGGAATCCTGTATCATGCTTCTTCACTATGCGTATTGGAAATTTTACAGAGCGGTAAAAAAACTCCTGTTCTTAGTTGCGATAGATAAGCGACAATTGCGATGAAACGGACCAAGTAAATCATACATTCTTCCCCTCTTCACGTACGGCTTCCCTGCCTGGTCCACCATTAACAAAACCCACATAGGTAAATTAGAAGTTCTCCATCGCCGTATACTGCGCATCATATTTCGTACTGATCGTTATATCACAAATCTAGACTTGTATGCTGCTGCATCCACTACCACTCTGCAACATTACCTTGATGCTTCCAAGTGCACCCTGGCACATTCAATTTTTCTTGACCAGCACCCTGCTCATTTACAGTCCCTTAATTGGTTCAATTCAGGTGGCACCACCCGAAGCTGCGTTCGTCTCCCCCTAGCTAGGTCTACCCTATTCGTAAATTCCCCTTTCTTTTCCTCCTACTCCATGTGGCTCCAACTGCCTCCCAGTGTTAGACAAGCCCCAGATATGCCCAAATTCCGTACCCTCGTCAGACAGCACTTCAGTATCTCCCAGTAAACAAAGTCACAGTCACCACTTCCGCTGCATAGCTCGCTGAGCATCCCATTGCTTTTTAAGTTGCTAATCCCTTCCCACTTTGTGTACGTGCTCTTCATTTTCTTTTTTTCTCTTCTTCCGTGGTTGGTCTCACCCTCTCCTCCATTCAATTGTCTGTCTTGACATGCCACAAGGTGCAGAAATAAATAAATAAATAAAAATAACTGTTTTGCTCTGTTAGAGCTCATCAGCACAGGTCAGAGGACCGAAGCGCAGCTTTTCGCAATGAAATGCGTTTCCGTGAAGCAAAGTATTTTTATAAAGAGCTGCAAACCCCGCAAAGAGTATATTACCTACATGTATATGTAGACCAAGAGAGGTTTCTTACTTACTAACACAACTGACAACGAGAACAGGTAGGTTAATGGAACGACCTTTATTATAGACGACGAGACAAGTGACCAGGACGAACGGAACGACTACATTGAAGAGTGAGAAGGAGATCTGAAGAGAGCGAGCTTATTGAAGAGAGAGGCAACGCAATATAAAAGGGCCTGGGTAGCTATGGCAAACATGGGCGCGCAAGTAGCTACCCAGGCAAATGAATAATGCATGAACTAATGAATATGAATTAATGACTTGCTGGCCTAACATACCTCCCCTACTCGAAAAAAAATCCTGCGTCCTCGCAGAGAAACAAAAAGGAGAGAAAAAGATAAAAAATGACTGAGGGAGAAAAAAACACACACACACACACAGTGCACTCGTGCATGGATCTCACTAAAGTGTTTGCTAGTATCATGCATTACAGTTATTGTTCCTGTACTTCTCTAAGTCTAGAAGAGAAAAGGACATATGGATACAAGTTAAGAGTAACTCTCCATCACTGTAACATGATACTATACTACAGTCAGAAAGTGCAATAACTAGGCACAACACTGACAGAGTACTGAGACATTCGACGTCCTGACACCTAGCTTCAACAAATCTCCGTAGCGCTAACCGACCGCCTTCCAACTTGGAAGGTTCAAGGTTATGGAAAGACCAAAGAGGGGAAGGCAAGCGCAACGAAAACGAGCTAAAGCTACAGTCCCAACAGAACAAAGGCGATGACGAGACCAGTACGATATTTGACAAAGCGGTCTAACTACAATTCGAAGCAGCAAAGCAGCACACAACCCAACTTCCCCTCTTTGTCAAATATCGTACTGGTCTCGTCATCGTCCAGTAACAATCGACATTCTTTGTTCCGTTGGGACTGTAGCTTTTTCTCGTTTTCGTTGCGCTTGCCTTCCCCTCTTTGGTCCTTCCATAACCTTGTCGGTTAGCGCTACGGAGATGTGTTGAAGCTTGGTGTCAGGACATCGAATGTCTCAGTAGTCTGTCAGTTTTGTGCCTAGTTATTGCACTTTCTGACTGTATATAGTATCTAGTTACAGTGATGGAGAGTTACTCTTAACTCGTATCCATATGTCCTTTTCTCTTCTACACTTATTTATGGCTCAACATCCGAGTTTCAAATTACTTCTCTCAGTCTAAAGATAAGAAACTAGATGTGACGAGGAACCTACTGATACTGCTTGTATGGCTAAAAATAGCGTAGTTGCACTTTTGCTAAACATCAAAAATTAGAGTGTGGCTCACCATGATCGGACCTCTAATTTACTAATATTATTTTTTATGAACACACTACAAAACAATTCACGAAATAAATAAACCGAAAATAAATTTGACGAAGAAGGGCGGATGAAAAAGAAAGAGAGAAATGAAGAAAGTAGATGACCTGCGAGACTTGGACGAGACAAGGTTGACATAGAAGAGACAAGGTTGGAGATGAGACGAGGCTGGCGACGAGACGAGACTGGCGATGAGACGAATGCCGGGCGGTAGAGGACGAGGGTCGTCGGTTCCGAGCAATGGTGGACATGGACGACATTGCGCGACGACACCGTGCGATGACACAGCACGACGATACAGCTCCACGAACGAACATGGACAGGGGTGACGAATAAACAAGGACAAGCCAGCAGTGACGGGAGCAACACTACACGTAAATTACATCTGAGGGTCGTGAGCTGCGGAGGCAGAACTCCACGTCGAGTAAAGGTGGGCGCCAATGTTGGGTCCGAACAAGAGGCATTTCTTACTTACTAGCACAACTGACAATGGGAACAGGTAGGTTGATGGAAATACATTTATTATAGACGACAAGACAAAAGACCAGGACGAACGGAACGACTATATTGAAGAATGAGAAAGAGATCAGAAGAGAGCGAGCTTATTGAAGAGAGAGAGAGAGAGAGACTTATCTCAATGCATGAACTAATGAATATGAACTAATGACTTGTGTGCGTAGCATATATAAGTGTGTGTTTTAGTTATAACATTATTATGTGACGACGTTCCAATGATGAAAGTCACAAGAAAACGTTATGGAACTTAACTTTCTTCCTTTTTTCCTGTTGTTACTAGTGCAAAATTTATCTCATTTATTGCTATTTTACGACTATTGTCTCCTCGTCGATTTTCTAAAAGCAGAAATGGTAAGAAATAATAAGAAAAGATGGAATGAAAGCCTGCTCACAACCCCGCCCAGCTTTGCGGACTGGGAAAAGGTGGATAAAGAACCAGGATTCAACGATTGAGCAAGCGCTCTCCACTCAAGGTGGTCACAGCAACTGATAGGAACGCATAGGGGGAAATGATAGAAATGAAGCAATAAGATTTTAGATAAAAGAGAATAAATTTCAACGGACCTCAATAAACAGAGTCCCACATACAGTACCTCGGAAAAGTGGATCTTCCGACCAGTGTTTTTGTTGACGTCGCAGCCAGATGATGTAGCTGTTTCGCAGAGACGTCTCACTGCACAAATTACAAATAACTTGTATTCTTCGATTAGAAAACCCAAGCGCTTTCAGAGCCCTCCGGAGAGAGTCCAGGATGAAACCACGCACACCTACCTCAACCGAAATGAAACGACCTGCCACCTGTTTGCTCGGCATTGATTGGCATACCGCCTGGCAATGTTGCAATGTAGTGAAAATATTTAAATTTGTTTATTTCCAGAAAACGTGGAACACTTTTTTACGAGACATGTCCTGGGTGGTAGTGGAGTTAGTCCACCATCATGCAGTGCATGGTTCAGAAAAATAGACGCCGTAAATGACTCCCGCTATGGCCCTTGAAATTTGGCTATTTTAGCGATGCAATTTAGTGATATTTGGAGATGATGACCATTGCTTTCCTGGATGTAGCAATGGCTCTATGTGGTGGTGATGTGAAGACTGCTCAGGTGAGTTAATGTTGGCTGGGTGGTGGTTTGTTCTTAGCTCCATTGCGTACGCTGTACCAGCGCTCGTTTTTGGACCCAATATTCTGTCGTATTTTGTGCCCATTTTAGCCAAGGTGTTCGTAAGTTATGCAACGAGCCCTTTTGCATGGTTGTTGTAGCCCCAAAGGAAACCTACTTGCAAAATTTGAGTGAAATCGGAGAGATGACCCAGCCCAGCGATTCTGGTTTTCTCAGATATGCTCTCTTAAAAATGGTATAAGGTGAAACCCTTAAATTTCCCTGTCAAAAGACATTTAGACACAATTTCCAACATTCTTTCATACTCTTTCCTTGTTCAGGGATTTGAGCAATAATAATCTCCGCTATCTTCCCAGTGGAGTGCCTCATGACACACCTCAATTAAATATACTGTAAGTCTTGTCTCACGAACAAGAATACACACATTCCCAATATTTCCTGATTCAGCCGTTTGCTCTTCCTCTAAGGATCTCTGCAGACCTGGGATAGTGGGTAGGCTGGGGATGCTGTTTAGGATAGCCATCGGAAGTGGCCCTACTATTGTGACTATGGAGTATGCAAGATAAGTAACAATGGATACTACTGCCGATGATGAGGAGTATGAGTGTGATTTGCTTATTTTATGATGCAGTTTTATCATAAGCAGATCAAGACTTTGCAGTGTGTTGCAAATTCCTGTAGGAGGACGAATAGCTTCTTTCGGCTCATACCCACACATGTTTCATACATCTACTTCGAAGTAAGTTTATACATCTCTTATACAACTAAGTTGGAAATCGATAGGCACATCAGCAAGAGATACACCCTCCGCCTAGAAGAAAACCTGCAAATAATCGCTGCAGACAAGACAATGCTACAGCATTGTAGGAGTGAGCTTTTATGTTAATGATTCGCCAACAAATTCCTACTCAAGAACCCCAGTGCAGCCATGACAAATTCACAGGTGTGCAACCACCCCTACATCGCAAATTCGTCTCTCACTCTCTATCTTCGCTCTCTTCCCTCTTCCCTAAGCCTCGTGCTGCCCGTTGTACGAGGAGCCAAACCACCCCATCCATTGCAGTGAACAGATTTCGTACTTCTGATGGTGTCAATTCTTTTTCGAACCGTGCTGCGTTGTTCATGTTGTAGTAGTACAGTAGTCTGCACTTTGCACGTATCCCGTACGCACGTGCCTTCACTATGCACGCACGCATACACCTTTTATGTGCTTCTTTATACACGGATGTTGATGAGAAATAAAGGGTTCTTCTTGACAACACAACATGGTGGCAGCGGCGGGTTTTTTTTTCGGTTTGTACTTCCCCATTGGTGCTTCAACGCAGCCTTTTCATGCCGGGAAAGAGCCGCAAGAAGGGAAAATCCTCGCTTGTTCCAGTCCTGAGCTTGCCCCCGCCGGGATGGATACGACCTCCGCAAGCGCCGGAGCTACGCCTTCGTCTGATGAGAAGCTCGCGAAGCTCATTGCTCTACTCTCGCAGCAACAGCTTCAGCAGAGTCAACAACAACAGCAGCAGGCCCAGCTCTCGCAGGCATTGTTGCGACAACTAGCACGGGTGTCTGCACCAACTGCCCCCGTGTCAACCAGCAATGCAAATTTTCCCAAATTGCGGAGTTTGGACGACGAGGACGATGCAAAACAATGATTTATTGCCACTGAACGTCGCCTAAACGGCCACCAGGTTGATCGCTCTCGCCAAGGCTTGGCCGTCATTCCATATTTGAAGGGCAAAGCCCTCAGTGCCTACAATAATTTGCCCACTACGTCCCAGGCGTTCGCCGACATCAAAGCTGCTGTCCTGGCTCGGTTTGGTCTTGACGCAGAAGAGTACCGTCAGATATTTTGTTCCACTGCCGTGTCCCCGTCCTGCGGTGACTACAAGGAGGTATGGCACCGTCTGTTCGATTTGTTCGACAAGGGGATGTCGCACTTCGTATTGAGTGGCCCTTATCCCACCCTGCAGACGGTCACAGATGAGATGGTCAGGGAGCAATCGGTCGCTGTTCTGTCCCCAGACGGTTCACCTTTGGATGGCGTCTGGAGATGTGGATTGCCTCCCTTACCCGGCGGTTCACGTGTGACACTTCCGTTGTGTGTATGGATGGTGATGTGAAGGGAATGAATTGTGCTGTGGATGGATGTTGTGGTGGCTGATGCAATGCGTAGTACTCTCCCTAGGGCTTCTGCGGTGCACAGACTCTTGCTTCTCTGTAATGTTCCTGGACTCGCTCCCTGAAACATCGCTCCGTCTCTCCCAAATACTCCTCTCCACAAACGGAACAAAACATTGAATAGACCACATTCTGCGACATACACTGACCAGCACTCTTACCAACATCACATGCACAGCATCCCCCGCCCCCCTCCCCCCCCCCCCCCCTTCTCTTCTCCTTCCTTATGTACACTTCTTGGGGGCACTCTGGACTGGCAAACGAGGAAGACACCAACATGTGTTTCAGGGTCTGACCAGACTGAAAGACAACACGGACATTCTTGCTGTACGACCGAGCTGTACGACGAACGTCATGGGCAAGGCGATCTGATGGATGGGAGTGTGAGGAAGGAAGTACCGGTATATGAGTTCTTTGTGCGGTTTGTGGCTTGTCTTGGTACTAATGCTCTGCGTTTCGCTGCTTGTATGTCTGGTTGTGGGTAGGCATTCTCTTGCAGTAGCTTAGCGATCTTCTCTTCTCCCCTACTTCGGCCATGTTCTGTCGATGCCTTGTTGTAGCCTCTCCGAAATTGTTCCCGGGCTACAGACTTCTTGACATCCATTGGCAAGGACGACATATAGGACAAATGAACACCACTGTGACTTGGCTTGACAAACAGCTCCGTCTGGAGAACACCTATCTGGATACTGATTGACAAGTCAGGGTAGCTGATGGTGTGTGAATTTGCGTAATGGGTGTATTCGATGGTGAATTTGATGTCAGGATGTCGGTTGCTCGTGAAGGACACAAACTCCACTAACTTCCGACGACCATGCAACCAAACCAAGATACAATCATCAATGTTTCGACGGTACATGGGAACAATGTCGGTGCCCCTTCCTCCAACTTTGACATAAAATGATCTCTATAGGAGGGGCAATGTGATTCCCCATAGCCAAACGTTTACACTGCCTGAACATACTGCTGTTGAACTCGAAGTAATTGGACTCCAGAACGAACTACAGCAACTCACGAACATCAGACAATGACAAGTGATACAATCATGTCTACTTTATCTCGATGCTCTTCCAGTAGCTTCATCGCAGCGTCGATACGTTCGGGGACAGGGATGTTGCAGTACAGAGACACGGCATCCAGCGAAGCAACAATACAGTCGGACGGAAGACTGCCAAGGGTTCTCAAATCCTGGAGACATTCCTCCGTGTTTGGTAAATGGGCCGGGGGACGAGCCGCATGTGGATACGTCGGGTCGCAAAGGAACCATAGAATTGACTTTTTCGTGAGATGTGTGCAAGTATAGACTTGTTGAGTGCAGGCGGTAGTTTGTCAACAGTGATGTCATGAACGGTAGTGCCCGTCTGTCTGTCAAGAACGGAGACGGCTACATCACACTTATCATAGTTCTTAGGACATTCCAACATTTCAATGACTTTCTGGACGCAGTTACCACGTGACATCACAAGGCCTTTGATCCTATCCCACGGCTTGACAACCACATTCTTGTTGTGACGAAGGTCAACAATGTCATTCTTCTCGTTACGGGAGAGGGCCCTTCCTTCTTCACTCACTTTTCTTGAGTCTCTCTTGTATAATTAGACGATATTGCTCTTCAGTCTGCGTAACTCGTTATCATCATCTGCAGGCATCAGCGGTGGTTGTTAATCGGGTATTGCGATCTTCTTCAGCTTCTGTTCTTTGTCTAAATGTCTCACTGGACACTGCGGGTCAACTGCTGGTCCTGGGTGTTGATCAGTTCGGCTACGGTTCTTCTCTGCTTCCTTCTTCCATCTAAGTCCGAATTCAAGGAGCTCCACACCAACCTGTACATTTTGAATGATGTTCTCGGTTACTCCACGCCGGGGGATGAACTTACGGCCCAGCTCCATGACACTGCGCACTTCCTCTGGCACCTCTCCCAGGGCTGCTCACTGTATGAAAAGTCTGCTCGTCGCTTGACTTTTCCGGTCACTATTCTTCGCTGCTCTTTGTTCTTTTCTGCGATCTTACTGCCTCCACCTTCCTCCTCAGTCGCCGTAATTCATCTTTCGTAACACACGCTGCCATTCTACTGCTGTGCCCTTTGACCCAAAAGGATCGGCTTGATATCATTGTCCGTTGAACCTTCCATTGCGGCGATGCACACCGACTCTTCAGGTAGCTGATTGTTCGGAATTTCTCCTCCATGATCCGGTTCAGCACTTTCCTCTGAAATGTTGTCTCTTCCTGTCCCGCCAGATGGTCACCAAACAGTGTAGAGCCTTTTGAGCAGTTTTGCAAAATCTTGGGATGACATTTTCCCTACGGCAATATGTCAAAAAGCAAACAGAACACCGACACTTTTCTACGGCCACCTCACTTTTCACCAACTCCCATGGAAGCGAGCGCTCTGGACCGTTAGGCAACACATTTCTTAATGTGCGCAATTATGTTCCTTTTATTTTAATTGCAGTGAAGAGACCGTTTTTGGAGTTTGGAGCTGAGAATCCATATATACAAATACCGTATACCCAATGCTGTAGAGAGCAAGCTGTTTCGGCCATAAAGGCCTCATCAGTACAGCTACGAGCTAAATAGGCCGAGCTACCAGCCATGGTGCAAAGGAGGCACCACAGACATTAAGATAGCTCGTCGCTCTAGCGCCAGAGTGCTCAAACTACAAAAAGTAGTGGGCATTGCGCGATGCAGCGGCGCTAGAGCAGCCTACTGAGAGTGCTCAAGAAGGCCAAAGCCGAGGAGCGTGATACCCAATGCTGTAGAGAGCAAGCTGTTTCGGCCATAAAGGCCTCATCAGTACAGCTACGAGCTAAATAGGCCGAGCTACCAGCCATGGTGCAAAGGAGGCACCACAGACATTAAGATAGCTCGTCGCTCTAGCGCCAGAGTGCTCAAACTACAAAAAATAGTGGGCGTTGCGCGATGCAGCGGCGCTAGAGCAGCCTACTGAGAGTACTCAACAAGGCGAAAGCCGAGGAGCGTGATACCCAATGCTGTAGAGAGCAAGCTGTTTCGGCCATAAAGGCCTCATCAGTACAGCTACGAGCTAAATAGGCCGAGCTACCAGCCATGGTGCAAAGGAGGCACCTCAGACATTAAGATAGCTCGTCGCTCTATACAAATACAAAATACATATACAATTACAGAAGTGAAGTTTCCAAAATTTCATGTGTAAGTTGCTGCATTGGAGTTTGCAAATAATTAGATATTTTGTGTCCCATACGTACAGATATCTTGACAACGCAGTTTCACTCAACCTTCGCTTGTGTGCTCTCAAGTTCCCTAATGACTTTTCACAAGGCAACATCTTAAGTGGAGCTGATGTAAAGAATTATATTGCTTCCAGTAAGTAACCCCTTTATCCCAAATCACACATTTCAGGACTTACCGTTGACCTTTACAGATTCCCTTTGTGCACACTTATTGGTCTCTTTTCAGCAAACAGAATCTACTGAGAACCGCGTGTTCTTGATTGAAAGTACGAACAAGTTAGGGTGCGTTCTTAAATCCTCTCTGAAAAGTTAGAGACTCTCTGAAAAGTTCGAGAGCTGCTCTTATATCCTCTCCGACTTTTAGGAGGCTCTCCAAAGCTCTCCAAGCTTCAGAGGTGGTTGAAACTTGGAGTTTCCCGCGGTTTGGGATCAGCGCATGTGAACTACGACTAAAAGCCACGTGTTCATCATGAGTGTACGCATTTTCCTTTCCGCATACCCTCACGTGCATCACTACATTCATCACTCAAGATGCGGCCCCTTTGGCACTTCATTTTGCTTGACATGTGCAGAATATCTTCGAATTCTTCGAGACCCGTTCTTGAATAACCACAGTTTCTTCGACTTCTCGTTTCTTCTTCTCCTAGAAGCTAGAGAATATAAGAACGCACCCTAATTATTCATCCTGAAGCTTTGCAAAAGACATAACTTAGCGATTGGTGTTAGCCAGGGTCCATACATATTTAAATATAGATGTGATAGTGTGTGTTTCTGGCATTGGGCATGCCAACCACAATAACAGCAATCCATCCTCTGCCGACCAAACTGAGGTAGCGGGTCGCTCCTAGTCCCCAATGTCCACCACCCCTCCGAATACGGGGAACTGGGGCGGGCGATGACGACGAGACCTGCATTGTTGCCTCTGACGATGCACATCGGATACCCTGCGCTCCTTGTCGTCGCCAAAACAGCCATGGTCATGTGACCTTGGAGGTGAAAACCAAGGCCGATGAGACATGGCCCTCCCCTCAGAGGAAACACCCGAAATACTGAATCCAGATAATTTTCAACCACAATAACCAAAAAACATACAATTTCGAAAACCAATACCATTGTCAGTGAATTTGAACTTTCTCAGTACCAATGTGCGTTGCCTATTCAACAAATTGGACGAGATACTTACCTTTATCTGTTCGTCTAACTCTGAATCTTCGAATGAACTATCAGTCAGTGCAGGGCCGGAAACCTGAGTTGACACGTCAGACCCTGGCAGTCTCTATGCAATCCCATGCTACTACCTTACCAGAGCTGACAGGCAGCGCTTTGGTGGTGGTCTTGCCTTGTACACAGCGGAATGTTCTAACCACAAGTGTACTGGAAATCCCAATTAAAGAAGCAGACAGCGTATGGATGGGAAATTCCACCGATGAACTTCCCCTCGTTCTTGCCACCATTAACCGACCACCCCAGAGCGATGGCACCCTCTTCAGTGCAGATCTGGAAAGCAGCATTTAAACCGCTAGAGCCGCAGGTGACCATCTCCTACTACTTCAAAGCCAAGAACAGTGCGTGGCTCACCACATACAGAACAGATCGCCTTGGGGACGACATACAAACCCTTCTACTTGTACGTACATAAATTATGGTCTCACACAACATGTTCCTGGGTTCCCCACTTACATCTACTGACAAACACCTCTCTCATGCCTAGATCTTGTGTTTTCCTCATGCTACAGCAATGATGTTCATATCCAATGCCTTCCACCGTTTCGCCCATCCGACCATACTACTATCAGTGGCCACATCAATATTCAACTGTCCACATAATTAACAACTCCCCTCCACGATCCGGAAGCACCACATTCTAGTCGTGGACAAACAGCACTATCCAACTTCTTCCAGCAGCCCTTTCACGCACGATCTCGGATACCATCCAAACCAACCTGACCCATGGCCAGTTGACACCTTCTGGCGATCCTAGCGCGACAAAGTCCTGAACATCGCCCAAGACCAATGCCAAGTACCCCCCCCCCCCCCTCCCACCCCCTTGGGAAAAAAAGAACGTGCCAGCGAGCTCATGGATATCAAAGGGCCTCTTGAAAGAGATCAAGGATAAGCACAGAAAACACAGGATATACCTTCACTGAAAAAAAGTGTACTGTCCAAAGAAACCATGTTACCACTCTCCTGCGTCGTGCAAATCCGATTTCGTAAACAAGACAACAGCCTCATCTACTTCCCTACACCACCTCAGGAAGCACCTTACTACGGCTACAAAACAATGCATACCCGAACCAATGAGCCAAGCACCTCCTGCGACGACACCAGCGCAAAAACCCGCTACCCTCAACGAATTCTTCATGTCACAGAGCAATGACCAATGAGGATGAGCAAACTCCAGCCATCAACACCACCCTTACATCCTCAGACCCCTTCAAGAAATCTCTACTTCTCCAGCTGAGGTGGAAAAACTCCTTCGCGGAATTGGCACTAACCCCGCGCCCCGTGTTCGACTCTTTATCAAACCTCTTACTCAAAAAAGCGGCTAAAGAACTTGCACCATCGTTACCGTCCCTCTCTAACGTATCATTAAAAACCGGAGAAATCCCACAGGAGTGGAAAAATGCCAACAATACTCCAGTGCCCAAGCCTGGTGAACCGACCCAACCGACAAAATCTGGACCCATCTCTCTCTTGAGCACTACATTGAAACTCCAGGGAACAATTGTACATCGGCTCCTCTACCAGCATACAACACCCCACCTACCCAACCAGCAGTCTGGTGTCGCGTGAGAAAGACAGCAATAAACAGCAGCTTGCTTGTTTTTTCTATGCTGTCCCCACTGCGGGAGACAATGGGAAACATGCCACAGCCTGCTTTTTCTACCTCAGCAAGGCCTTCTATCATGTGTGTGGTATGCAAGTCTTCTAGCTAAACTTTCCCACTATTCTGTGCATGGCAACACACTGGAGTGGTTCCGACGGTACATGTTAGGGCGTCCGCAGAGGGTCCAGGTGGATGGCGACCTATCGCCTTTCCTCGGGATCCCTGCCGGGGTCCATCTGCTCTTGGACCGCTTCCATTCCTCGTCCACACCCGGAAGAATACACGAAGAAAAAACAAAGCAGTAATAAAACGACAACAAATCGTGACTCTGACCAGTTAGGGACTAATACATACAGAACACATGATCAAGACCAAAACAACCAGACCACGGACGAATCACACATGACTCTCATTCCCAGACCAAACTAGCACTGCGCATGTACAGCATTCACTTGACAGGCACTCTCGCATAGACGGAAGCAGATCCGTACACTCTGACAGCACGTACTCTTGCATGCACCACATACCACAAACGTCATACATCACAGTCACATCATGCTCACACGTACACTTAGACCATATTATGACATCAGACACTGGACTCTACGAGACAAGAACCGAATACAACAACATGCGTAAATCATAGTCGAACAGAAATCTGCAACATATGGTTGGCCCTGTGTCGTGGCCCGTTTTTCTTTAGATTGTCGGCTCTGGATTCTGTTGGCTTGTTGTTAGCTTGTTGTGCTACAATGTAAGCTGGTTTTCGTTTTTCTCTGTTGCTGTGGTTTCTTTTGCTGTTGCGCATGTGGAACCTGGTGTCGGTTTATTATTTTGTGGAATGTCATCAAGGGGGCAGGTGTTGTGAAATGATGGGTTGTTTTCCTGTGTGATTGGCATTCCGCAAACTATCTCGTCTAGTCGCATGCCTGTGTGATATGAGCATGGGCGATTTGGTAGTCGAGAGTCCTTTTGTCAGTCTTCTTGTTTGTCCCTTCAGGACAATATTATAATGTAAAAACGAACTAGTCTTGTCCTTTGTGTCCTGCATCCTGGGGAACGGAATGGGTGTGATTCCGTGACACTGATATCATTGTTGTTTCAAATCGTTATTCTCACGATAGCCAGTGGCCAATAAGAGATGACAGTGTGAGAGAGGAGAAAGAGTGAGGAAGAATTGGGTGGGCAGAGCCTAGGGGTTAATGACTACTTAAGTGTACGGGCAGGGGTGGTCGCTACACGAGCATACAGAGTTGTGCAACAGCAGGGATGTCCGAGATTTGAAGAGAGTACGAGAAGAAGCGAACTGCGTGAAAGGGGATCGGTCATGTTAGCGGGCGCTATGCTGGAACAACTTGCCTACAAAGATAACAGTATTCATTCCATCTCCATTCCTTGTCTGTTCCGTGGGGCAGCAGCCCGGTTTCTACTATGAACTGAGTACATTGAAAAGCAATTATTGTATGTGTGGCTGTCAGTGTACATGTGCGTGTGCGTGTGTGTGTTTGTGTGTGTGTGTGTGTGTGTGTGTGTGTGTGTGTGTGTGTGTGTGTGTGTGTGTGTGTGTGTGTGTGTGTGTGTGTGTGTGTGTGTGTGTGTGTGTGTGTGTGTGTGTGTGTGTGTGTGTGTGTGTGTGTGTGTGTGTGTGTGTGTGTGTGTGTGTGTGTGTGTGTGTGTGTGTGTGTGTGTGTGTGTGTGTGTGTGTGTGTGTGATTGGTTCGACACCGCGCAGCAGCGGGGAGAGTGGCGCACAGCATTCAGAACTGCTTCCACACCACAGCCGGCCTCTCGTGAACGGATTCAGTGCAGTATCTGTAATAGATCCTTCTCGAAGAGCGGCCTGCCACTCCATAAGTGCACTGAAGAGCGTCGCAAACCCGTAGCAGACCGGTCTGGCAGCAGGCAATGCAGCGCATGTCTTCGCTGGTGTCGCAGCCCTGGCGGACTGGCTGTCCACAAATGCCTGGATATGCCCCAATCTGCTACTCCAGTGCACGACCAAACCACCGCTTCTGGACCATTGTGTGACACCCGCCAGCAGCTCGCCCTACCTTGCTGCAGAGCCCACTGCAGCAAATGTGATCGTTGTTGCAAGTCAACCCGAGGATTCCAGCTACAGAACTGCAACAAATGGATAGATGAAATGGCTAGGAAATCTCGCTAGGTCGTTGATGTGACGCAGCGCATCAACCCAACTCTTCATGTCTGTCGGCCCCTCACACGAGGGGACATCACATGTAACCGGAAATGGCAATGTTCAGGACAGGACAGGACAGGTGTGTTTGTGTGTGCACGTGTGGGTATGTGTGCGAGTGTATGGATGTGCATGAATGTGCGTGGATGCGAGTGTGTGTGTGTGTGCGCGCGCGCGTGTGCGGGCGTGTGAGTGTGTGTGCGTGTGTGTGCGTGTGTGTGCGTGTGGATGTAAGTGGCTGTGTGGGTAGGTGTGTGTGTGTGTGTGTTTATCATTGCTTTATTGGAGGTGGTTGGCAAGGTCGTTGCTGCCATGATTCAGCGCCGCTTGCAGTCATTGGCCGAGACAAGATTCAAGGGTTTTCTAGTCTTCGTAGATCTCCGTAAGGCGTATGACTCTGTCAGCCGCCAATGCCTATGGATTATCCTCAAGAAGATAGGTGTCCCTGAGTGCCTCATCAACATCATACGCTCTTTCCACACCAATATGACAGGAACGTTGAAGATCCCGGGAGTTGATGGGCCACCAATTGGGCTGCAAAACGGCCTCCGGCAGGGTTGCTGCATGGCACCGGTACTCTTCAATCTGTTCACGTGGGACGTTTTCCAGCAGTGGCATCGTGCTGTTGCCGGCATTCCTGGCGTTGGTATTCCTGTGGCAACAAACCCTGGGGGCAGTCTTCTATTTAGTCGGAAGTCAACAGACAAGAGCAAGGTCCATCGCGAGTGTCAATTTACAGATGACTCTGCTCTGTTGGCTACCACCTATGATGGTGCAGAGCGGGCCCTTGATCTATTCATACACGTAGCGTCTTCTTTCGGCTTGACAGTCAACCTGAACAAGACAAAGGTGATGGCTGCTGGATATGGACTCACGAAAGCAGACCGGCTGCCCCTGGACGTTGCGGGTGAGGTGGTCGGGTGTGTAGATAGTTTTCGTTATCTTGGCTCTCTCGTTCACACGAATGGTCAATCCACCCCAGATATCAGCTCACGCATTGCCGGTGCATCACGTGTATTTGGAGCCCTACGCCGGCCGGTTTTCAATGACAGCAACCTCCCACTTGCTATGAAGCGGCTTGTGTACGGGGCATGCGTGTTGTATCTGCTTCTGTACTGTGCTGAGTGCTGGGTGCCGTTGAAGCCCGACCTTGATGCACTGGGCTCTTTCTATCTGCGCTGCATACGTTCCGTGATGGGTATCAGCCAGCGGAATATCTGGGACGAACGACGGACCAGGGTTGATGGTGGAATCCGCGTCAGCCTGATGACATCCCCAGCCTGCTGACATCGCGCCACATGGAGTGGCTTTGGTATGTTGCGCGAATGCAGGAAGAGCATGCCCCGCGTCAGCTGCTGTTTGGCACCCTACATCCTGTCCGTCCAATGTGCGGCCCGAGGAAAAGGTGGCGCGATGCTGCGCGGAAGGATCTGGCAGCGTTGGGCATCGACGAATGGTACAACTTGGCCGAGGATAGGCGGGAATGGCGGGCCGCTTATAATGTTCTGCCCCTCCCTAACCCGTTTGTGGGCCCCTGCGGATACCTTGTGCCGAGTGTGGTTGTCTCTTCTCCAGGAGCGGTTTGCCTCGGCATAAATGCCTCGATGACCGCCGCAAACCTGTATCGGAACAGGGAGGTAGCCGACAATGTTCTTCCTGCAAGCACTGGTTCCGCAGTGCCGGAGGTTCGGCCGTCCACAAGTGCCCCAACTCCCGGACTCTCCTCGCGACATCGTCTCAGGCTCCATGCCGGGCGGCGGTGTCTACCATTGCTGCTCAGGTGACTCCTCCGCCGCCGCGTGTGCGGCTCGCCCTCTCATGCTGCAAGGCCCACTGTGGGGCCTGTGGTCGGTGCTGCCGCTCTGCTTGTGGATTCCAAATCCATAGCTGCCGAAGATGGTTCTCTCATCGTGCCGGTGGAACATGGCCCCTGATCTCTTGGCAGACTGCCGACTTTCTGCCGTCGCTCGTCGTTTCCAAGTTGTCGGCCCCGCATGGGGACACGTGACTGTAATGGCAGTGTTTACCAGGACCAGGACCAGGTGTGTGTGTGATTGTGTGTGTGTGTGTGTGTGTGTGTGTGTGTGTGTGTGTGTGTGTGTGTGTGTGTGTGTGTGTGTGTGTGTGTGTGTGTGTGTGTGTGTGTGGCTTCGATTTCTCTGTCTTCTTTTCGCGCTTCCTATCGGTGTCTCCCGCTTCTGGTCCGGCATGGCCCATGCTTCATGCATGCTTGTTCCTGTTGTTGTTGTTATATGTAAGCACATTTACGTGTATATTCTGTCCTGCCGCTACTTGGGCTTTGGCCATGACCACCATTTATCTTCTCATGTTCTCCTTTATCCTTTCTTTTTCTTTTGCTAAGAGCTTTCTTCTTGCCGTGACCACGATTTTTCTTTTATTTTTTATTTTTCTCCTTTATTTATTTTTCTTTCTTTTCTTTCTTTTGCTGAGAGCTTTCTTTTCGCATATTTTCTTTTCATCTGTGTCTCTTTCCACTTTTTCCCATGCCTGAGTTTATTGGACCTCATTCGCTTCCTTGTAATCGGATATATCAGTCTGTTCCGTTTTGTGAATTCAAATATACCCACAATCAACGAACAATGTTGTTCTTTCCTAGTTTTTGAAAGACTGTAAAGTCTTAGTCGGCCAAAACCTCTCCCCATCTTGCCACGTACTTGGTGAGAGTCGATTCGGTTCATAAGCAGATGACACCCATATTATTCCTCATCAAGTCAAAGTAGCGGAATGAATTCGGAGGAGTTTCACAAAAGAACCTGCTCTCAGTACTGTGTTTGATCACTAAAGAGAACAAAGGCCAAGAAGTTAAAAACGGAACGACGACCAGCTAGCTGCGAACAGGAGATGGAACGCGAAAACAACAAAAGTGGCTTTCAAAGGGTATGCGCTGTTTGCTGAAAACCTGCAAAGCCCGTTTTTCTTTTCTTTCTCGTTGCCAAGTCGATTTCTACTGTAGCGCCGTTTGTTCAGGATTTTGTACTTGTACCTAGTGTGTTTGCAACCTGATATACATCATGAACATGTAAAACATATTATTAGTAATTCCAAGTGATATGTTGGCGAGTGATCTGCAGACCTATGAAAACAACTTCAGATCAAAAACTGGCTTCTTCTGTTTAAAGAATCAGGTTTTTATAAACAGATTCAGACAGCTTCTAGAACATTTAACTGCATTACATAACTAGCACGAGAAAGAACAGAGAATTGAGCTTCACCCAAACGGTCCGGAAGAGATAACAACTGATGGTTTTGTCTTCTTTCACATAGATTTGACTGAGGCCATTTGCCGGCAAAACTGTAGCATCATTTCCTCCATGGACAATTGCTCTTCGTGTACCGGTTATCTGTTCAACTACACTTGCCTAGGTGAGTAGTGGTATTCGATTAGTACGTAGAGTATACTGTATGAGGTGACTTCAAGAGTTCAAGTACTGCTTTGAGCCAAATTCTGACTTTGGGGCTCATAATATGGCCGAATTTTGTCTTAGTCATAGTCTTAGCCGATCAAAAAGCCGATTAGGCGAAAAATCGGGCCGATTTTGGAAATGCCAAAACACAGCTTCCCCATCACTATCTCTTTCTTTCTGTCTCTCTCTCTCTCTCTCTCTCTCTCTCTTGTTTGTGCCTCTGCCCCTATATGGGTATTGAGCACTCTTCGAACAATTGAGCACGCTACTTGATTACGTTGAATCAGCATTATAATTAATCACTCAGAAAGTGGTGGGCATCACGCAACTGCATTGTAAAAAAGGGGTTTGTCAACTGGCAACTGCTCTATTCAGTTGCTATTCACTCTTGGCGCAAGCGCTGGATGAAAAATTATTTTATTAGGCATGTCAAAAAATTATAATTTATAGAGTAGCTTTTGGAGCATTATGACTAGAACTATACAAACCATTTTCGGAGCATTATCCGCTGGATCCGAGCACTGGACGGGACAACAACAAATACAACAATGGAACTGAGAAGCACTCAAACGCCAGCTTAGCAGATTTCATGACTTCCTAGAATTAGTGTCAATCATTACCGGCAGTGTATTAGTGCTAACTGTATCCATTACGTGAATTAGATTTGTCTCTCCTACATATACGAGCCTCAGGCTGAGAAAAGGGTGATATTGGCCTCACGCGCACAACTGAGAAAAGGGCACTTGAAAGCAGGGTACAGACCTTCGCTCTGTAATGTTGCCTTCACATCTGTGGCCGTAACTATTAAATACTTCGAGATTTTTCAACACGATTTCCGCATATGAAACAGTGAGATTTTGAGTTTTAGGAATGCTATCTAACTCAATTTGACCAAAAATACCAATAGCACCCTTTTCTCAGCCTGAGGCTCATTACATTTATGTACTCCTTGTGTTTCCACCTGGCTGGTGGTCTAGAGCGAGATGAATGTCTATATCAGATTCATAATTGCGACTCCAATGCTGTGTGTACCAACACGGTTGGGTCCTACAACTGCACATGTAACTCTGGGTTTTGAGGTGACGGCACATCCTGCAAAGGTATGTTACAATTGTTATTGGTATGATAATATGCCAAATAGAGCTTCAACGGAATGGTTTTGTTCTGGCAACTTCAGTTGCGCTACGTGAAATCCAGCCAATAGTGCACATTTAGCACCCTCAACTTGTACGACCTTTGACGCCCTGAAGCGGCATGAATGCATCTGGACCTACATAGGTTCCAGCGGATAATGCCGGCATTATATTCGGCTTAATGAGACTATCCGAGCATCAGAGCATTATGGCGCATTAGATTCAAACAAAACGAGCATTGTGTGATGTTTTAGCGGCATGACAAATTGCAAAGTAGATAATTATTTTGAAATCCCTGTTCTTTTTCTCAACAATCTGCTATATGCATTCATGAGATCCAACCCTCGTCGTGTCTGAAATGCGTAGATCTACGGGTTCGAGCACATTCTACCATGCACCTGTAGCCGTACATGACTTTGTGGACAAGTAACACCTTTAGCACTTTGTTCGCTGTAAGTAGCAATGCAGTCAGGTACGTACCGGTTAATGTACAGTCATGTACGTACAGTCGGAGTCAAAGAAATATGACGCATGATATAAGCCAAAGGCAGCACCCATGGGGCCCTAGGATGCAAAAAAAAAAAACGTTTTTTGGACGGTGCAAGATGTACGGTAATTGATTTTGGACTTGAAATGATGCGTGGCACTGCAACCAAAGATGTTCCACAAAAATAATTCGAAACGATGATTTACATGGACTAGATGTTTGTTTAGAAATATTGGAGAGCCATGGATCATGGAGGAGACAGACGAAAAGATGTTTTTTCGTTGGGCCTCAGGCCCTGGTGATAGCTTCTCCACAAGGTGTAGCGATATTGAAGTAGACACTGCAGCACTCATCCATTGATACAGTTGAACCTGAATGAAGGAGTGGCTATGAACAGAAAGCGGACTGCGTTCCAAAGAACTGCCTTTGTTGTGTCCAGCCAAGGCCAGGAGGCTCGAAGAAAAAAACTAGACTTACCTGTACTCAAGGACTCAGTACTAAATCCATATCATCTCTCAGCAGCGCGTGTCCGACTTTTCTAGTGAAGCAGGTACTGGTAGTTGTGGACGGTTGTAATGCAAAGCCTGCAGTCAAATGCTAACAAAAACAGAGGAGTATTTTGGTCCTGCATTTATCTACACAACGCCAAGAGGAGAAGAAGCAAGCACAAGCAAAGGCTGTAGAGTGGGTACATAACTTCAGACCACGTGTTTTCCGCAAGTTGGAGGGATCTCGATTCATGATCATCTCTCACGAACTGACCTTATGTTTGCTGTATAGGATAGCGTTTTTCACAGAGTGGAAACAGTGACAGGTTGTCTGCAGGCAGAAATACCACTTGCCATGATAACCTTCCAGCATCCATATGATCACCAGCAATAATGGTTTTCACCTCTCAGTACCTGGATAATAAAGGGGAAAGATTTGATACTTCCACTATTCTGCCACTGCCCTGCATCAAGTTGCAATAGAGAGCAGCCACTGGAGAAGCGAAAATATCTTATAGTAATACCAGGTGGTAGACCCGGTGGGAGATATTGCGGCAGCTTCAGAGGCAGATTGAATATGTGCATTCCTTCCTTGAAGTTTAACAATTTACAGGCATTCTCCCTTTTCTGGCTCAAACCAAGATCAGTATATCCCTTTCATAACCAATATATCCGCATAATATTATTGCTAGCATTATACATTTCAGAGCGTTATCCACTGGACTCACGACGTGCATATGTTCAAATTACTATGACGCATTCAGAACTGGTAAAGTGCGCCAGGTTTTCACTTTGGGTTGGGTTTCACCGAGCGCAATTGTATGTGGTACATACATAGTAACTCCTCCACCAAAATTGTCTTTTCTTTCCGCTCCCATAACCATGACTTGTTGTTGATGTTGCTGATGTTGTCGGTATTGTTTTAGCAGCAGTTATCTATTTGGTGAAGCTGAAATCCTGTTGCCGGAATGGCAGTATTTTCCAGTGAAATAAACAAACCCTGTTTATTTGTGCACGCTTTCGTGAGAAATCCCATCTTGACATTTACTGATGGCATTGTGTCATTCTTCCTTTGCCTTGCTCACTGTATTATTTCATTTGTTCTGATTTGTTCTTTAGTACAACTTTGATTCCTGATGAGAGTTGTATGATAACTAGTTCGAATAATCATTTTTTCTAACATGGAATTAGTGGGCACAAGTTATGCGATCAAGTCCACCAACTAAACTTGATTTTGAACAGTCAGACGTGGACAAACTAGCACTAGCAATGCCGTGCAATGTCTCAGTACTCCTTGTCAGTTTTGCATAATTTGGGCCTACACTTTCCCTGTTACAAAATTTGATTTCCATGGTTCACCATCTGAGTTCTTAATTCTTTTTTCATCATTTTTTAAAACATTTTTATGTATGTATTTTGTATTGTATTGCTTTTATTTTACATCGTAAGTCAAACGGGCAATCATGCCCAATGTTATGATGTTGATGGAAAGGGAGAAAAGAATAAGAACAAGATTAGTTATGCTGGATTATGGGGAGTGAAGACAACAGTGAGACAACTAGAGGGGAATGCTAGGCTGTGCGATTCTGAAGTACATCTATTTTGTGTTTGGTTTATGTAATGCATTTCAAATCCAAGGACATTCATCCCCAAAAGGATAAAATCTAAGATAACCTGGATAGGTGGAGTAAAGAAAACCGTGAGTATGGAGAACTCTCGGGATAGGGAGCATCCTAGCATTAGCCATGAAAGTAAACTTTCAATAAACGCTTGAATCGGCATGTGGTAGGGCATGAATTTAAGGATGAGGGAAACAGATTGCACAACTTAGAAGCAGCAAAAACTGGTCCATGAGATCCCGAAGTACTGCGGATGTTGGGAAGGGTCAGATTGCAGGCATCCTGACTTCTGGTGGCAAGGGGCAGCGAACTGTATTCCTGGCGTGATTTGAGCACCAAACTGATATTGCCGTAAAGAATACAGTGTATTTCTTATTTCCTTTTTAGTTTGTTTTGCACCGTGTCCATTGCTTAGCATTGTTGCAACCATTGCTGTTCATGAACTATTTCTAGACACGGAAGAGCATCTCCACTCAGCTGTAGCAACAGCAACACAGTGTCTGAAGACCTGGAATGTCCTGAAAATCCATTTCCATCACACCAACCGCTCTGCTCCCTGACCACCATCCGGCGTACTGAACGATACAAACCTCACAGTTGCACCAAGTCCGAATTGTTCTATCTAACATTCGCCTTGTTCTTTAGAGCAACGTTGATTCCTGATGAGTGTTGTACGAAAACTAGTTCGAATAATCCTATTTCTATCCCTTCTTCATACATGTATTTCAATAGTGCAATTCTCTCTGATAACCCTTTAAACTCAAGGACCGGCTTGAGCGCGCCCTGGGGTGTGCTATGCGTCTCTATATCCATCCCCTCTTTGAACATAGTAATCACTCCGTGCTGCTGCACCGGCTCAAATGACCTTCACCCAGCAGCTGCCATAATCTCTGACGATTCATTTTTGCACACAGCCTGCCCCATAGATGTGCACCATCACACATTCCTGCAATCCATCTACTCCGAATCCAACTTATTCGCAACCTATGGTTCTTCCGAATCGTTGAGGTACCCACAAAACGCACATGAAGGCGAAGAGACTCCCAAGCTTCCCTGGATCGCAAATCAAGCACAGATATGATTTCAAAGCCTGCGTATCTCTATCTCTTCAGTATGTTACTTCTCGCATTGCTTATCGTAACTATAACCTCATTATACCACACTGCTGCACTCCATACACTCTTCATTGGTATCGTTGCGTTTTAGAATGCAGTTACATATTTTTATTTGATTCCGTATCTGTGTTCCTTCTGCTCTCAGTGTGGCCACAGGTCATTGTGAAAATGAAAAATTAAAGATTCAAAAAACAATAACGACAACATCAGCAACATCAACAACTGCTATCTATTTGGGCGAAATATTGGCAAAGTTATCTATTTGGTGCAACTGAGAACCAGTTGCCGGAATGGCGGTATTTTCAAGTGCAAGAAATACGCTGCAATGGAGTTTGGGATTCCTGAAGAAACGTTTGTTTGTTTATTTTATTTTACTCCACCAAGTGAATCGGCATTTCTGCCTTCTCACAAGGTCTGGAGACCTACTTCTGCCAAAATGATGAAGAGTGAATGAACAACTAAGCGTTGCATGTGCGTATCAGCCGCAGCAATGTGAGAATAAAGAAGAAGATAAAAGATGACAAAAACCACATGGCAGGACGAAATGGCAACACACTCGCCGCAATAAACGAAAAACATCACTGGAACAATTTTAGAGTAAGGAAACTATCCTTTTGGACTCACAAATTGGGCTTATGAATGCGCTGACAAAGAGCTTCTAGCACTTTTAACTGCAACACATAACGATGACGAGCATGGCACAAAACAGAAAAGCATGAATCAGAATAATAACATTATTACACAGAGGAGAGGGTGTGCGCCTTAACCTGCAATAGTGCTCAAATGCCCGGAATGGGCAGAGCGTAGTACACAAGAGGTACACAAAAGGAAGTATATGGGACTGTTGTCTGATGATTGGTTTTGCCATGAAACTCTGAGTTACAACAAAAAAACAGCCCTATATACTTCCTTTTGTGTACCTCTTGCGTAATAACATAATTATTATTATGGACTAAGATGGAGAGCCAAGGTTTAATTTATACAAAAGAGAAAGACCAAGGAACTACAAGTTACGCTATACTAACACCACCAGTTACTAAAACAATCAGCTCATGCGATAACATTGCACAACACTGATCGACGGTACTGACGTTCTACAACTAACTGGCTAACAGCTCTAGCACATCTTGGATGCGCACTCCAACAGCCTTCCAACTTGGAAGGTTCTAAGTTATAGAAATAACATAAGGAGGGGAAGGTGACCGTATTTGACCGTATTGTCCAATGGTCTTGCCAGTATCGTCATCGACATGCATGAACATCCGCCAGCGTCCTTCACAACTATGACTTTCAGCAAATGTATTAAACACACATTAACACGCATGCACTCGCTATTGCAGACCAATGGAGAGCACACATCATATGGAGGATTCATGGAGTGCTGGGCAACCGAATCTGACATGTGATAATCATGTAGGATAGTCCACGCACGAGGTGCAGCCCATGAAATGGGCACCCATGAACTGGGCGGAGTGTGGACAGCCTGTATGATAGTGTGTATGTATGTCCACGCACAAAGTGCAGCCCATGAGATGGGCGCCCATGAAATGGACGGAGTGTGGACGGCCCACGCACGAAGTGCAATGCCCGTTAGGAGGCAGGAGTGTGGGAGTATGAGTGTGATGGCCGAAGGCCGTGATAATTGCCAGATGAGAGGAGATAGCTGGCCCAGCACTCCTATTTATTTTCCTCTTGTATGAATTATGATACCTGTGTTGAATCAAGGATATCAATATTATTCATAGATGGGAAGAGGTGGGTGGGTGAGAAAGGAACAAACCGGTGTTCTTCTCACGGCGCAAACAAAGCAAATATGAAGTTGCAATGTGGCCAGCGCGAAGTATGGTGTATGCGTTACGGGTTCAAGCTCCGATGTGTGCTGCAGCCGCATATGGCTGGTTGGCTGGCGAGTTCAGGTGAGTTCCGGCGTACGCATGTTACATGCCACCGCAGCGTGCATGTGCGTGTTACTTGACATGCATCAATGAATAGCGTGGGATCTGCGGGCTCTTTGGAAGCCGCTGGAGCGCATGTGAAGTGGTGGCTTGTGCAATGTGTTAACCTACATTACCGCAAGCTCTAATGTGCTATTATTTTCAACGTTTTATCTCTCTGTGATACCCTCCCGCCTAATATGTTGTCACTTATCTTTCTCAGATCAAAATGAATGCCTAGGTGATAAACACAATTGCAGTTCTAATGCCACATGCAACAACTCAATTGGATCATATCATTGCACATGTATATCTGGGTACACAGGTGATGGTATATCTTGCACAGGTAAGTGAGAAACCGTTGAAAAAAATGTCCGTTTTCGCCTTTCCCAAATATTTGAAATTGTTATGGTCGAAGAAAGCGAATTTTATTCCTTTCTTTAGCTTCTTTAAAGTGTTGTATTATCGCCGTTATTGCCGAATTCGCACCAGCCTCTTCTTCACAAAGCTTACTGTTACTTCCCAAATGAGTAATAGCCATTTAGCTATTGGATGTTCTAACCATGTCTTTAGAGCTGTTGAAAGTTTTGGAATCAAACAGCAGCAAAAACCACGGGCCACCAGCACTTCCCCTTTTAGGTGTGGCCTGGTTCCATGGGTCAGATGGTGAGTGTATCATTCATGACAGGCAGTGTCCCAGGTTTGGGTCATGGCAGGGTGGAAATAGCTTTTCCTCTATAGGCAGTTTACTGACCTGACCTATCATTTGGAAGTTTGTCTATTTGCATATCGGAGATTCGAGCTTCAATATAACAGTGTAATGCCAGTCCCAAAGGGACTTTCCCTTGCTCAAGACAGCACTTCAAATCGCCTTTATGTAAAATTGATTTATGCAAATCGGCCCTCAACCTCCTCCTCGTTGCCTTTTTTCTTTGCTCAAGAAGAAGTAGGTTTAGAATTGTTTTCAGGTTGTACGAACATTCCTGTGGTACGCCATCATGGAGTCTATTGCTGAGATTGTTGGCAAAGCCCTTGAACATGCTTTGCGTCCCATTCAGGAGCGCTTGGACGCGATCGAACGCCGTCCTGGTCCTCCACAGCTCCGCAGGCTATCGCCCAGGCAGAGTGCTCTTGGCCCGCGGAGTGTGGGGGATGCAGACGGTGCGATGCCAGGCTCAGCTTTGGCTGCTGGTAGTTCTACGCCCTCTTTGGGGCCGTTTGCTTTACCTGGCTCAGCTTTGGCTGCAGGTTTGTCGGACTCCCAGCGTTTATCGCTATCTGCGGGAGGTCCCGTGTCAAGCGCTTCACGCATAGTCATTCGGCCTGGCTCAGCTTTCGCTGCAGGCTCGACGGAGCACACACGCTTGTCACTCTCAGCGGAAGATCCTCTGTCAAGTGCTTCGCGCACAGTCGTTCAGTCTGGTTCAGCTTTGGCTGCCAGCTCGACGGATCTCGTGTCCAGGTCCAGTGCTTCGCGCACGGTCATTCTGCTGGCTCAGCTTTCACTGCAGGCTATGCCGACTTTCCGGGCTCAGTGTTGGCTGCCGGTATAGTCCAGGATGCTCCACATGTGCAGTTTGTAACGACCGGTTCAGCTGTGGCTGCGGGCTCACTGGGACCAAACCTGCAAAGCTCAGTTCAGCGAACTGCAGGTCCCACGGATCAGGTAATCACCTGGCTCAGCTTTGGCTGCAGGCTATTTATTTTCCTTGGAGGCCAGTGATTGTCGTGATGGTCTGTTGGGTCCTAGCATGGCACCTGAGGATATGGCAGATGATGACACTCCACCTACCGAGAGTGAATTTCGGACGAAAGTTTCTGAGGAAACTAAAGAACTCCTAGAGAGCACTCTGCGGGCTAAATTGGATCGCCGACAACGGCACGCGTTGGTCCGACAGCACCCCAGGCCGGACACCCCGGCGGCGGCTACCCTGTTGGTTGACAGCAACATAATCCACACGGTGTATGGCCTTGGTCAGAAGCTGCCCTCTCTCCATAATCGGCCAGATGCGCATCCATTGCAGGCCCAAATAAAATGCCGGTCCCTTGGCCGAATTGCTTACATTTACTGAGAAGGTCACTGAATCGGATTTGGCCGGCAAGTTCAGCGATGCTCTCAAAGAAGCTTGCTCTTTATTAGGAGATGCCAATGCGCTCCTCATTGGACGCCGTTGCGGTGTGTACCTCAGCAAGATAAATCCCCGGCTGGCTTGTTTGGCCAATGAGGACTTCGATCAGCCGGGAGATAAGCTGTTTGGCTCAGGCCTTGCTGCCAGGATGGCTGCCTAGGCAGAGGAGGAGAAGGCGGAAATTCCCCGCTCAGCGTAGCAGCAAACGCCGGCATGATGGTGAGGATCCCCGGCAACCGGCTGTTTCCAAGCGGCCATATGGCCGCTCACCACCTGTTTATCAATCCAGCCAGTTTTTTTCCGAGGCGCGGGAACTCATACGGTCGCCGAGTTCTCGCTCAGCCCACCTCCGGCCACCACCAATAGGGTACCTTTGACGGCCATTCAGCTGGTACCTATCCATTGGTCATACGTTTGATGCGTGGTATCTACAATACTCGTCCTCCACAACCTTGATATGCCTCAACGTGGGATGCGTCTATTGTGCTAGATCATTTAGCATAATGGTCTGACTGCACCTCATTGTTGTTGAAGCAGTTGACTCTCAAGCTCACTATGCTTCTCGCACTTGTTGGTGCGTTTCGAGCGAGCGAGATTCGTCACATTAGTGTCGCTCCCATTCAGCAGACCTCAGATGGTGTGGTGGTCCAGCTCTCGGCATTGTCGAAATTGCAGGGATCTGGGGCTACTCAGAGTGGCTGACCTGCACATTATGACATGTGCATCATGCTCTGCTTATCAGCGGCCAATGTGTTTAACAGTTTCCGCGTACGGCCCTCTGTGCCACTCAGTATTGTCAACACTATTCTCTGCCGGTTTTATTACCTCCCTGCTGTGTGCAGTGCTCATAATTATGTCTCTGGCAAATCATGGTACGCCAGGTTGAGAGCATTCTGTATGTTGGACACTTTCTGTGCGGCATAATGTGAAACTATGATGTGTCTCTGTGTGCAAGCTGGGTGGCTCCATGCATGCATGGGCGATTTGAAGATACGCTTATAATATTATATCGAAGCTCGAAGCTCCGATATGCAATATCCCATTTCACAAGCAATGGCACATTGTGCTGTGAAGTGGGGATTGTATGAGGAGCGGAGAGCGGAGATATAATAGTCCCACCCACCACACCGCTTACAATGGCTGTGGCTATCCCTCCAGTTTACCGCCGAAAAAAGGCAACGAGGAGGCGGTTGAGGGCCGATTTGCATAAATCAATTTTACGTGAAGGCGATTTGAAGTGCTGTTTTGAGCAAGGGAAAGTCCCTTTGGGACTGGTATATCGAAGCTCGAATCTCCTCATACAATCCCCACTTCACAGCACAATGTGCCATGGGACATTGCTTGTGAAATGGGACATTATCTTCACTCTTACTTGAAAAACAGCACAACTCATGGCATCCGAGAGATATCCAGCATTTCGGTTCTACATTGCCCCAACCATGTGCTTGTTGAAATTTCGATTTACCTATAATACAAGCACATCGTTTTCCTCGTGATCTC